AACAAAAAAAAAAGTACTTATTTTTTTTCTTTCAAATTAGAAGCATTTTCTTAGTACAGGACATGCTTGTTATCTGATTATGTGTTTCCAAAGGCTCATAGTTAAAAGGCTACATAGCTTAACGAATGTCATCCCAAAATAGATGTAGATTCAATGAGAAATAAAAATTTGTAAATTGACCCCACCCAACTATATCTGCCCACTTCAAGAATGACATTTTAGCCCAGTCAGCATTATCAGTCTCTAGCTGATCACAGAAATTTGAACAATTCTGATGACTTAATATAATTATAATAAAATTAAGTTATATCTACCAAAACTTTGGATTTTATTAAGTTGATCAAATTAACATTGGTAAACTCTTTAAATCCTACTCAACACCATCGACAAATGAAAATTTGGCCAAATCAGACTGCTCAAAATAAATTAAGAATAATGACTTAACAGACGGTGCCAAAGAGAATTGTGAACCATGTATTAACAAAAGAAAACTAAAATGTCTAAAACTATTTTGTAAAAATGACCACTTGAAGCATGTCACAACTTATCATATAACGTTCACAAGACTTAGCAAAGATGTTCCTTTTTCAAAAAGATAAAATTACTTTGATAAATAACTTATTTTAAGATAAAGTCCTAATTATTTTTTCTGCTTTTCATGGTGAAATTCTGTTTCTTCTTCTTAAGTAGATCTTAAAGTAGTAGCATCCTACCTGTTAGTTTATCTTAAGACAACAGACACTTCCTACAGTATTTCCTAACACATTTCAGTTTTATAAAAGTCAAGGAGAAGTTGATCTTCAGACAATCAACACCCTGAAATAAAATCTAATCACGTTAAATACCTGTGTACCAAGAATCCAACAACACTAACTGGTCTCTCCTTCAGTGCTTAGCTCCCTCCAAGGGATAAACGTTCTAGATGAGGATGAAGGTCACATGTACCTTTTAAATGACTACTGAATGACAATTAACAGGGAATTCCAAAATATTTTTCTGTATCTCCTTGAGAAAATAAGAGACAATGTGGGCTTCACCAGCATGGCAGACATCCTCCAATTTTCAGCACTTAAAATCTGATCAAGTATTGTTTTTGCCCAAGAAATGCCCCAGATTAACTTCAGCCCCATTTCTTCTAAAACTTTGTCCTTGTGGAGTGAAACATGGTCACATTGCAAACGACCACCTTAACTAGTCTCTTGGTTGAAAAAACTCTCACAAACACCTCATTAAGCACAATTTTACTTCGCAACTGCCTGATTCCTAATAAGCCTTCCTCTGTTCAGATGGACTGAAACTGGAAGTTGATAAACCCTCACAAAGAAAAAAGGACCATTGTACTACAGCTCAGCAGAGACAAAATATGTCTTTAAACATTTACAATACATGCATTCAATAACTACTGAATCACCCAACTCCAAAATAAAAATGCATGTATTTTTCCATGACCTTGATGTCATTTTTGATTTATTTTCTGGTAAATAAAACCTACCCACTCAGGGAAGCAAATAAACAAACTCTTCTTTGACCATTCTCAGAATTTAGAATTGCTTAACAAAAGCCTTATTAAAAAAATTTTTTTTCCCATGGTATGATTTAATCTTCCAGCAAAGTAATTCAGATAAAAGCCAAGTAGGCACACCATAGTCTATAAACTTTCTATTACAACATCTTTCTAATTATATACATAAGTAGTGTGCACACTTACAGCCCTAGACATTATATGTATATATGTATGTATTTTTCCACTTGATAATGTACAAATTATGTCCCCATACTTACACCCAAGTTTAAGTCTTTTATGTATTTTACAATTATAATAATATTTTATACACAACTACTAACTTGAGGAATATTTGAATGATTCGGCCCAATTTTAAGTCACAGGAACACTGAAATGGCCTTTTAGCCATTTGGGGGAAAGTACTATCAGAAAGATATAGGATGATGCCTTTTACAATCATTTATAGGATAACTCAAAACCCCGGGGAAATTTGCTTGCCTCTCAAATCCAAGAAGGCAGCGTTCTTTATTCTACCTTTTCAGTGATTCAGTCTATTCTAAGGATACAGATTCTAGATGTGTTCTAATGACATTTTCCTATTAAGTTTAATAATAGCTTTAATATTCCTACACTGAGTCTACCTATATACAATGAGAAAATAATGAGTGAACAAATACTACTCATGGAGAAATAACACCTCTCCAATCTTAAGTAAACATTTTACAATGTTTACAGTATACAGACTTATAATAGTACTATCCTCAAAGTAGTTCTGGGAGACATTTACTCCTTAACTAGAGGATTATCTTTTTCCTTAGTTTAATACAGAAACACCAGAAAGGAAAAAAAAATTCTGGTACTTACTGGGATACATAAAATAAAACTCCACAGGAATAAACAGAAAATTAAATTCAAATATCTATGGAAAAAATACAAAGAACAGAGGTTGAGATACAAGAGTAGCAATGAAATAGAAGAACAGTTTTAAATCTGTGTGTGTGCGTGTGTGTGCGTGCACGCACGCGTGTGCACACATGTGCATGTTTGATGGCAAAAGGCAGAGGCAAAAGGTAAACAGAAAATTCACAGATGACACAGATTCCCCCCTGGGTGCCTGCCACAATTACTCCCACTAAGAAAAGTCAGCTCACAGGAAATGTGCTTTTGTAATAGATCTAATAGAGTATGTGGGAGAAGATAACGAAGTACTCAAACTCAAGTACTTAAGGGAATGTTGAAAATGTCTGACTCAAACTCACGAATCAAATTAAAGCAGTGGTAGTGACCTTTGAGTCATCTCATCCAAATTGGAAAGAGGAGGAGCTAGGCTGTTACGTGCCACAACGTACGCCTGCCAAAGAGAAAGCAAGTGCATTTTGCATTTATGCTTTCATTCATTCATTTTAATCCTTACAATGATTTAAGAAGTAGAGTTATCAACCTCATTTCTAAAATGAGGAAAGCAAGCCTCAGGAAAGTTAAGTAACCTGACCAAGGAACTGAGGAATTCTGAGTTTAAAGCCCTTGCTCCCCTTCATGATACTGATACATGAAACTTCAGAATATTATCTAGAAACATAGAGAGGAGATTTCTAAGCAAGTTAATGTAGAGGGAGGAATAGAGGGCCATACACAGAATTTTTAACGTACTTGTACCCTACAGAGCCTTAGAGTCTTCCAGCATTATGTGTATTTCCTAATGTCCCCCAAAAAACCCCAATGAAGATATAAACATCCAATAAAATCAGTCACTTGTGGAACTTTAGTTTCCATTACAGCAGGATCCATGAAACTTATCTTTAGGGTAGATAACGAAATACAATAGGCCAACGAAATCAATCTCCCCCAAGTGCTAATTTGTTTATACTTGCAATGCTAGACTTACAACTTTTTTGTAGCACAAATTATCTTTTCTTTCTGTATAATGATCTTACTTAACAAGAACTAAATTCGTACATTATTGGGATGGGACTGAGCTTCTGAAACTCAGCAATAGCTATGTTTTGAGAATTTCACATTTGGAACCCCTTCCCACAGCAAAATGTCACAGACTACAGACTACTCGGTTAGCCTCTGATTTTTTTCCTTCCTGGCTGTGTTCTCTGAGATCCCCCTCTTCTGTGCAGCTTAATAGGCCAATTAAGTAAATGGTATACTAAACAAACACTTTAAGTCTTTCACAAGAAAGATCTCCCCAAAATTTTTATGGGTCATTCTTTGAGAAATTCTCTTCCATCTGTTTCTAACTCTACTTTTGCTGTCCCTATGACAATTATCAAACAGTCCATTTTCTTCCACATATTTTCCCTCATTTTTTTTTAACTTTGGAATTTCTTTTCCAATGGCATTCTGCTAACATGCTAATAAAGTTCTTTCATCTTATCCAAACAACCAGTCAGCTCAGCAGTATATTTTGCAGTTGTAATGAAGAAAAAGAAATGAAATTGGTTGCTGGATTATTTTTTTCCTAAACTTGTAGATTCAAACAAATAATTGCAGTAACAAAGGAACACAGTCATAGAGATCATAGCAAGAGAGTAAGCTCAAGAATCCATAAAGAAGAGTTTCTTCTCGGTTTGGATGGATTTCCTCAAGGGTGAAATTTTGTTAAAAAGAAAAGTTGATTTCAAGGAAGGAAGCCTAAGTTTGAAGAGTTATATCTGCACTGGTAAAAAAGACGTGATACATACATATATTACTATCCATCAAAAAGAATGAGGGGCGCTTGGATAGCTCAGGTGGTTAGACATCTGACTTTTTTTTTTAAGATTTTTATTTATTTGAGAGAGAGAGAATGAGAGAGAGAGCATGAGAGGGAAGAGGGTCAGAGGGAGAAGCAGACCCCCTGCCGAGCAGGGAGCCCGATGCGGGACTCGATCCTGGGACTCCAGGATCATGACCTGAGCCAAAGGCAGTCGATTAACCAACTGAGCCACCCAGGCGCCCAAGACATCTGACTCTTGACTTTAGCTCAGGTCATGATCTCGGGGTTGTGAGAGAGAGCCCTGCACTGGGTTCCACACTGGGCATGGAGTCTGTTTAAGATTCTCTCTCTTTCCCTCTGCCCCCCTCCCACCAAAAAAAAAAAAAAATGACATTTTGCCATTTGCAACAATGTGGATGGAGCAAGATAGTATAATGCTAAGCAAAGTAAGTCAGTCAAAGACAAATATCATGATTTCATTCATATGTGGAATTTAAGAAACAAAACAGATGAACATAAGGGAAGGGAAGGAAAAATAAAATATAAAAACAGAAAGGGAGGCAAACCATAAAAAACTCTTAACTATGGAGAACAAACTGAGGGTTGATGAAGAGGAGGTGGGTAGAGTGACTGGTTAAATGGGTGATGGGCATTAAGGAGGGCACTTGTTGGGATGAGCACTGTGTGTTATATATAAGTAATGAATCATTAAATTCTACTCCTGAAACCAATACTACAATATATGTTAACTTGAATTTAAATTTTTTAAAATACCTGCATTAATTCACTTACTGAAATAACAACAATAGGATATAAAATGGATAGATTACTCTCTTCAAGCATGTTCAGTAGTGTCCGGGTTTCCTCAAAATCAGAGGACATAACCTGAAAGACCAGAAAAATAAAAGTGAAAATAAGTTCTTAAATGATTTAAATGTTAATCCAAGGATAATTAAAAATAAAAGGGAAAAAATGGAGAACTTTTACACATACATCTAAAACATTTATCAAGCTTGGTTTTCACTTTTTAAACAACTTTAAAGGATACCCATTAAGGTCCTATTAAAATTTAAACTATTCATTAATTCAAACATGTTTCATCTTAACTGCTTCATACCAGGTAACTGAAAATGGTGTCTAAAGAAATATTACCCTCTTCTCATTATGGGAACTAGCTTGTTAGAAAATATTATTTTCCATTTCAAAAGTTAAAAAATAAAACTTGCAAATACATACTGAATAACACACCTCATCAAAACTTAAATTCAAATAATTAAGAATCAAGAAAAAAATTATCTTCCACATTTACATTCATACAGATCCTCGAGTGCTTCCAATAATTTGAATTTACTACTCACATTCACACAAACGTAATTGTAGCATTGCTCTAAGATGATTTGCTCAAGATCTCTGCTAGTAGGACACAGAGCTCCAGAGGTGACTTTTACATGCTAGGAAGAAAAAAAAAATAGAAGAAAAAGGAGTTTATAAACTAGATAGAAAAACCAAATGAGAACCTAAAAGACAGTTAAAAATGAGCACAAAACTACTAGACACATAAAGCCAAGAATCATATATAAAAAAAAATAATTCAGGCTACAGTTTATGAAGCTACCAAGAAAAAGACATTTGAACTAGTCCATGGGTAATGACTACTATTTTGATAAACACCAATATAGCTAAAGTAAATCGTTTTAAGTAAGAAAAGGTAGAGGATATATGATGCAGGGACAACCAAGCAACTGTTTTTTCTCATTCAAAGGATGTACTGCAGAAAATGCTGAATTATTATTAAAAGGTTGGTCACACAGGGATTGTTGGATGATTCTGGAAACGTTATATTCTATAGTTACCTACATTTAACTAACCTGGAAAGACTAAAAACAGGGAAGGCAGTAAGAAATTATTGTAATAGTGCAAGTATGAGAGAAATAAGACTTGAACTGGGACAATGATAGCAAGAGATGAAGAGATTATTACCAGAGGTGGTCTCAGACTAGATTTAGAATAGTACATATATTACAAAAATTTTCCTAAAGAGGGGTGCCTGCATGTCTCAGTTAGTTAAACATCCGACTCTTGATTTTGGCTCAGGGGATGATCTCAGGGTTGTGAGATGGGGTCTGTATAGGAGCTCTCCACTCAGCAGGGAGTCTGCTTCAGATTCTTTCTCCCTCTCCTTCTTTCCCCTCTTCCCCTCCCTGTGCACACGTGCATGGTCTCTCAAATCTTTTAAAAAGAAAAATTTTCCTAATGACATTTTTATTCCATATTGCTCAATATTCTAATTAACTTCCATTTTTTTCCTTCCTATACCAATATGAACAAAAATTTAATGACTAAACAAGGGAAGTGTTTTATCTATACTATTCTAATTGCCCAGAAAGTCACATTTCGGTGGTTAGCACTGGCATTACATTTAGAAGTCTTTACAATCTACTATTCTAAAATAGAAAGCGTGTCACTTAGTAAAACATTAAACCCTGTACTTCTAAGAGCATTACATCGTAAGTAGGATTCATCCTAATTCTATGCAATTTTGACAAAATATTAGAGAAGTAAAGGTTTTGAGGTCTTAGCAGTGCTAGAAATTAGTTGGCTCATAAATTTCAAGACTTTTCTTTCAGTTTAAAGTTCATATTGAGGGGCACCTGGGTGTCTCAGTTGGTTAATTAAGTGTCTGCCTTCCGCTCACTTCTCCCTGCTTCTCCCTCTCTTCCCCACTTGTGCTCTCTGTCACTACCTCTCTCTCAAATAATAAAAGCTTTTTTAAAAAAAGTTCTCATTGAGTACAAAGTTCAGAGAGAACATTAAAAAAAATAACAAAACAGTTCCATATGCATCAGCCATATATTGATAATAAAATAGGAAGAAACTGGATTTCATTATGTAACATTTAGTTTGTTCAAGGAATCACATATTCTAGATATTATAGGGAGACAATTTTCCAAGAAGTTTCTCATATACCCAAACATTTTCAAAAGTATTAATAGCTAATTTACTCCAGATTGACATTTCAAAGATGTTTGCACAGCAGGCAGATTTGCAAAGATAGGTACATGTCTTCCTGGAGCAAATCTGTTTATATTCCAGAAAATAAAGGTAAAGTCATCTCTCTCCCTGAGGCAGGTCTGCTTGACATTCCAGAATAATAAAGACAATGTCTCTTTTGTAACCGGAGGACGTACTGGTTTGCCCACAGTCCCTGAATAAGGCAAGTGCTCCCCAGTATCAAGAGTCTTCTTAATGCATCCCACTGAGACAGCACCTAGTTGTAACTGCATTTCCCTGTAGGAACTGCAATTCAGAAAACCAGCGCTACACTGTTAAATGCTCCTTAATGCTACTGCTGTAACAAACTGTCTTTTCTCTGAGCACAGAGTTTCAGGTCTTACCCTGATACTTAAGATATTAGCATGAATGTCTGCATGCACGTATCATATAATTCCTCAGATCCTGCCAAGTTTGACTTAACAGATATAAGACAATCATATCAGATCTTAACTTCAAAAATGTGAGTAAATTTGAATTTTAAAAAATGACCTAATTTAAGATGTTCTTTTGCATATACGTAAATAACGTCTAGGATGAGAACATGAGAGATATTTAGCTTTGTAAGTACTGAAATGGAGAAAATACTTAAGGACAGGGCATGGGATCCTTGCACACAGAAACATCCTGTTTTTACAGCTAGCAAACAATAAATAGGTATTTTAAACTTACAACAGTTTTTTTAAAGAAAAAAGTCATTTCAAGAAAAATGGTCTATGTTCTTAAAAGAAACAACTTGAAAAAGGTAAAAAACAAAAAATCCAAAAATTCCACTACCTACTAACTTCAACGTTCAATAAACATCATTCCCACAACTCTCTATTAATATATACAGTAGGACAAAAAGGATGCAGGAACAAAAGCACTAATACATTCTAATGAGATGACATTCCTTTTTTTTTTTTTTTTTTTTACCTAGTTAGGAAAGAAAATTGAATAGAGTAAACCTGAAGATGATGCTAAGCTTCAGATTATTTTCCAGAGCACTAAGCTTCTAAATGTTAAGAAAAGGTAGCATGGAGAGGATTAAGACACTGGATTTTTAATGGCAATGACTTTCATTTGTCAGTACTTGTTGACCTCCTTCTACGAGAAGGAAATAAATAACACATTTTAACTTCCACCTCAAGCCTGGTTCTGGTCATATTATTTTTACCCCGACAGGATTTATTGTACTCACATTCTATTCTAGAACTGTAATACCCACAATGTAGACATATCTACATCCCAAAACACTTTTTATACAAAATTTCTCCATTTCTAAGTTCTTTTTAATTCATTACTTCATGTGATAAACTGTATGTGCAAGGAGTTTTTTTAGTTGGTTTTGTTTTTTTTTTAATTTTTTATTGTTATGTTAATCACCATACATTACATCATTAGTTTTTGATGTAGTGTTCGACAAAGTACAGCATCCTTTCTTGATCAAAACTCTTCAGAGTATAGGGATAGAGGGTACATACCTCAATATCATAAAAGCCATCTATGAAAAACCCACAGCAAATATTATTCTCAATGGGGAAAAGCTGAGAGCTTTCCCGCTAAGGTCAGGGATGCGGCAGGGATGTCCACTATTACCACTGCTATTCAACATAGTATTAGAAGTCCTAGCCACAGCAATCAGACAACCAAAAGAAATCAAAGGCATCCAAATCGGCAAAGAGGAAGTCAAACTCTCACTCTTTGCAGATGATATGATACTGTATGTGGAAAACCCAAAAGACTCCACCCCAAAACTGTAGAACTCATACAGGAATTCAGTAAAGTGGCAGGATATAAAATCAATGCACAGAAATCAGTGGCATTCCTATACACCAACAAGACAGGAGAGAGAGAAATTAAGGAGTCGATCCCATTTACAATTGCACCCAAAACCATAAGATACCTAGGAATAAATCTAACCAAAGAGGCAAAGGATCTGTACTCACAAAAACTATAAAATACTCATGAAAGAAATTAAAGAAGACACAAAGAAATGGAAAAACGTTCCATGCTCATGGATTGGAAGAACAAATATTGTGAAGATGTCAATGCTACCTAGAGCAATCTACACATTCAATGCAATCCCCATCAAAATACCATCCACTTTTTTCAAAGAAATGGAACAAATAATCCTAAAATTTGTATGGAACCAGAAGAGACCCCGAATAGCCAGAGGAATGTTGAAAAAGAAAACCAAAGCTGGCGGCATCACAATTCTGGACTTCCAGCTTTATTACAAAGCTGTCATCATCAAGACAGTATGGTACTGGCACAAAAACAGACACATAGATCAATGGAACACAATAGAGAGCCCAGAAATGGACCCTCAACTCTATGGTCAACTCATCTTCGACAAAACAGTAAAGAATGTCCAACGGAAAAAAATTGAACAGCCACATGCAGAAGAATGAAACTGGATAATTTCCTTACACCACACACAAAAATAGACTCCAAATGGTTGAAAGACCTAAACGTGAGACAGGAGTCCATCAAAATCCTAAAGCTGGTTTTGTTTTTTTACAAAAGCCTCAACATTTTTAGATTCTTTGACTTTTTGCTTTTAGACTCAAAGAAGAGACATTTGGGAAGAAAAGTTTGGTTCCCTCTCTCCCTTACAGATCTGTAGTCACTGCTCCACCACCACCAAGCACTGTGAACTATCCTGATAGACTCCGTTTCTCGCTCACCTATGTTACCTAATAGATCTCAACATCAGTAGTTCTAATAATACATGTAGACATTGTATTTTATTTTTCCCCTCATCACCTTTATAACAGACAATTTGGCTAATGGTCATATCCTTGGATTCCACTTGCATTCCCTCCAAAGTTCATAGGCACAGCTTCATTGTATTAGGATAGTGAATACTGTGGAGATGCAAGAGGTCAAGCAGAGTTTTTCTTTATGTTTTGATTTTGGTTTTTGGCACCTAGGTCCCTGTCTGAAGAATTCTTTATGAGGAAATTCAAAATCCTAACCAAAATCAGTACAATTGTTACTTGGCAATTGTTATTCCTCAACTTTCCCATAGCTATGCCCATTTGGTCTTACAGAATTAGTCATTTCAAGGAAATAGTCTTCTAGCTTTCAGAATAAGCATTATCCATATGTTGGATGCCTTTATCATCATTCACATCTATTCTCTTTAATTTTTACTTAGAGTACACTGTAATTATTTCAAGTTTCCCGCTATAATAACCTGGTAGCAGTTGTATTCTATTTCTCATCTGCTAAATAGTTCTAAAATAGTGTTGCTCTAGCGTTGCTCTGTCTTAATTTTATTTCCTCTGATAACTGTATTCATCTCTTGCAATGCCATCTTTGAAGTTTGTTTTTAGCCTTCTTGAATTCAAATTTTTACTGAATTCTACAGAACAAAAGGTATGAGAATATTTTGGGGGTAGGGAAAGCGTTGATG